GGGAAAGAGGGGGGCTGAGGAAGGAGGGAGGATGCTGTCCAGAGGGTGCAACTCTGCCTCCTCCCATGGGACAGCGCTTAACACGTTAAGTGCCATGTCAATCACCGGTGACTGACACTATACTTTCCATCGGAAGACAAAATAGGCTGGGCGCTTAACATGTTAAGTGAGTGATAAACACTACATGGACCTGGTATCAAGTGCTACACTCTCCAGTGAGGACCTAAACCATCCCCTCCCCCACACTTGCCTTCATGCTACATACCTGACCCAGCTCCCAGCTCTTTTATTTAATATTTACTTTTAAAATTTAATATTAGTTCTTGGCTATGATAGAAGTACTAAGGGAGAGAGAGAACAAAATTTCAAACATACTCCATCATATAAAGAGCTACTTAAAATGTGTGATGGTTATGGTCCTGCAATGCCTCAGGTTCTATTTTATGACCTTCAACAAATAAACAAACTTATTTCCCATTTACAAACTAAGTGACCCATGCCCAGTCCTTCCTGATCTTCCTGGGAAAAGTAAGACTTACTAAGATGCCAGGTAAGGAGCTATATGAGCTCAAAAGAAAAGAAACCTGGTAATCATTCATACTGCCCTTTTGAATTGGTTGTTGAAAGCAAACACAGTGGGCCCAGGAGAAAGTCACCCTTTCCTAAAAGGACAGAGATGTCTGAAGCATCAAAGTCAAAAAGCCTCTGTTTGTTTGCAAATGCTGGAAAAAGCCAGGCAGGAGGGGGTGGTTTCAGAGACACAATATTGTTCACTCAGCTGCCAAGTGCCATTTTGATTAAATGTGTAGAGGGGGAAAGAAAGCATTTTGCAAAAGCTCAAAATAGAGCTCAACCTTTGGCAATGCAAGAGCAACTTCCTGGAGTTCAAGGGCAGGATGTAGCAGAGGGGAAAATCCAAGCCTACATTTGGCGAGGAAATGTTTGCAGCAGCCCGGACATTCCCTGCGTGCTCCTTCCACTGCTCCCAGATAGGCGGCAACTAGTTAACAGCGAACCTCAGAAGGTGGTTCTGGTCTCTTAAGCAGGAAACTTACCTCTTCATTCTCAATCTTCAGGGTGGATAAGCGAGACTGCAGTTGTTGGCATCTCTGTACCAGCTCACTCTGGACAGGCTGCTGGGCACAGAGCTGGGAAGCCTGCCAGAAGCAAGTGATACCAGGTCAGAAGGAGGACACTACTTTCGGCGGTTCTGGAGTCCTATTCCTGCTAATAAAACTACACATATTCAAGCTGTAAGGCTCACAGTTTCTACGTTAAACCAAAATCCAAAGCCAAAGTGTGTGGATCTCTTCCAGGACCAAATAGAACAAAAGAAGAATGAGGAGTGGGACCCAGTTGGGAGGACCCGGCCTCTCTGTTAGCCCATATTCAGATTGGTGCTTGGCAGAGGCCGATCTACGCAGGGTCTGTGGCTCCATGGAAGCCGAGTTAGGGCAGAGACGACCGCCTTGGGCAGCCCCAGCTGCAGACACACAATGCTTTGGCACAGGGAGGATTTCCTGCTAGAGGTCCAAGTGGCCACCTCTCTGGCTCCCCCTTCACCCCCCTTTGTACACCAGAGTGAAAGCAGGAGAGAAGTGGGTCAGGAGGCTAACTTGCCGCTGTTGGCAGTCAGCATGTGTTTATAAATCTCTGCCAGGCATGAGAGCTCTGACTCAATTAGAGAAAGTGTAAAGCTAGGAACAAGTCCCCAGGCAATGGTAGAGGGCCCCAGAGGGCATGAAATCTGGTGGAAGCTGGCATTTTCAGAGACCTCAGGTCTTCACCAGAAGTGTGGGAGCAAAGTCCACCCTTCCCCCAAGGATCATCGCCAGCAAGCGATGTGTGAAGGAACGGTCAAGCCACTGTCTCCCGATGATGGCATGGCTATGGCATGAGCGTGAGGTCACCCCCCGTCCTCAGGATGACATTAGGAACAGGCTGGCAGAGTGGGAGGAACGAGCCACGGGGAGGCAGCTCCTGTCACCTTGCCACCACGTGTCTCTTAGCCTCTCATCTAGAGACACGTCTGGAAAGAACTGCCCTTTCTTCCCGAGCAATGAGTGGGCATATCCCACATACCCATAGACCATTCTCTTACTTGAAAAGACAAAACCTCTCTTCAAATGAAGGGGACTGGGATTTGACCTTTTCCTTCATTGGCTTTTAAGCTCCCAACTAACTCGACCTCTTCCCCCAGCTGAGGAGCCGGCTGAGCCAGCTCTCAGATCTGAAGAGAGCTGACTTCACTCTGGCTCTCGTATAAGCAGACACAATGAAGAAAGCTCGGTGGCCAGCTTTCTGGCCAAGTTAGGGCCAAGAGTAAAACTCTCTGGCTGCCTGATGTCACCGGTCAGGCATCCAGAGCCCCACCAACCCCCGGGGGCACCAAAAGTAGAGCCAAGCACCTCCTCCTCATACATCTGAGCGTGCTTGGCATCAACTCATGAGCGGAGCGCCCCAGAATACCAGTCAATGTGGGGCGCTGGCCAATTTCAGAGCTTCCAGTCAAAATGCCACCCGAAATTTGGCCCTAGTTCAGAGACTTCCAGGCAGCTCCCTCTGTTGCCTCTATAGTCTACAGACAACCCACACTGATGGGGATAGACTGGCTGTAGGGACCAAGAAAGATCCGGCCTCTCCTCTCTCTATTTTCCACTCATATAAAGGCTAGACTGGAATGCGGAACCTTTGCAAGATCTAGCACTCGCCCTGGCCCTGACTGACTCAGCCACCGACCAGCTACATCACATAAAGGAAAGGCCTAGGCAGAAGACTAAATTTTTAAAGTAACCCAGACCTAGTAGGGAGGAGTCAAGGAGAGAAAACCACCTCCACGCCTGTTCCTTTAAGAAGCAGCAGGGCTGCTGATGTATGCTTTGGCAGTGGTCCTCTACCGGGGTGCAAGGTAATGCATTCCAGCTGTGCTCCGGAGTATGGAAAGGAGGCTCTGACAGAGCTAGGAGGGGGCCCGAGCACCCTGCATTTGGATCCCCCCTTTATGGAGACAAGCTGTTTGGCTCAGAAAGACCAGTCAACACCCGAAAATGTATCGCACCGCTCAGCTAGTCCCCAAGTCCCACTGATTCTTGGGAAGCAGTCTCAGAGGCAGCTGGAGAAGGGGCTTGGAAGGCCAGAAGCGAGGGCAGGTGAGGAATGGGGCTTCCTGGGGTTTGGTGACACCCCTTCCCCGGCTCTAATTGCACATGCTGCCATCTCACTTCCCCATCTGTTCAGACACTGACATTTCTCAAGCCACAGCAATGGCAACAGACTGTAAATGGCTTGGTTTTCCAAAAAAGGAGAGAAAAGAAATCATCTCCACATTTTTGTCTTTAAGAATGAAATGTCCCACTCACTATAGTGGCCTATTGATGACAGCAGATCCTCCGGTTACACTGCAAACGTTGTCATTCTGGAGCAGGGCTTACTGACAGAGGTCTGGATGCTAATTCTAACGGAAGTGCCGGAAGCGCCAATCCCTTGCTGGGAGGACACTGTGGTTTCTTGGTCACCTAGCACCTACCTCTGTCTGGTAACTTTGGCCTGACTGCCCTCCAGGGAACCTCCCACTCCACAACTCACGCCATGTACTTTGGATGGGGGCTCTCCTCAATAAGGGGATGGTGCATGTGACCTGGGCAGAAGGCAAGCAACTGACTGCAAATACCTAGTCACACTGAGTGACTCGGTATAGACAAGTCACCCCATCAGAACCAAGAAGACACATGAGACGATGGGAGCTTCTAGGAGGTAAGCAGATACCCTCTCCACTGGATTTCCACCCAGAAAAAGATAAGGCGGGAGTAGTCATCTTGCCCCCACAAGATAAGAGCCTGAGAATAGGACCGACATAGGATATGGAGCACACAGAGAAAAGCCGGGTCCTCATAAAATTCCCACTCCTAAATGTAGCCATGCCTGCTGGTTCCACCCTGAGCTTTTATTATGTAAGCCTATACATCCTCCTTCTTATTTGAGCAGCAGATTAAATGGTGGCTCTTACCCGCAGGGAAAAGGTTTACTCATTTGTGTGCACAGCCACCAGAAGTGGAACCGAAAGATTCGCAGTAATGGAAGCCAAGAAGCTTCTCTTCCCTCTCACTTTCGTTTATTTAAGCCCTTCTTGTTTCAGTCACTGAAGGTGAAAAGTCCAAAACAGGGCCCCCAGGTTCCGCCTCCCCTGCCTGGGCAACCAGCACAGGCCTTCTGGATGATATTGCAGCTCCTGTCCTCTCTGTAGGTACCTGTGCTTTTTTGTTCAATACCCAAGCAAAACGACATCTTTTATTGCAATCTTCTAACCCTAGGAGAATAAGGTCCTTCAGAACTCTGCCAAATGACAAAAGGTCACATTATTCCTCTTAGCCTTCCCTCCCCACAGAGCCATTGGTATCTGGCCCATCTCAGTTCTCACTTCTTCCAACCTCACCACTTGGACTCCCCCCTCCCTCTTCCTTTCACCATTACCGAACTGTTAGCAGTTTTAGAACGTATCTGCTGCTTTTCACTACTTTGATCCTTCTCATCCCTTTGGGTGCCCAATCCTCTGCATATTTCCAATTCTCTCTCAATTCCCCAGACTGTAAGCTCCCGAGGGCTCTAATCCCCAATGTCTAGGGTCAAGTTTAGTGGACAGCAGGCACTCAGTAGCTGTTTGCTGAATGAGGGGAGCGCCCCACTCACCTGACGGGAAGGCCAGGCCTTACTCGCCCCAGAATAATGCGGCCTTAGTGTCGTGAATCTAGATTCAATTAAGTGAGGGGAGGAGAGCCTCACCATGTCCCCCATGTGGGGCTGGAACTCAAACTTCATAGGTGGGCAGAAGACATTGTTGTACATCTCCATGAGGCGCTGCTTGTCACTGGTGGCATCCAGGTTTTCTACGGCGTTCTCGATGGCATCCAGGCCCTCGTGCTTCGACTGCTCCAGGTTCAACTCAGCCGAGAGGAAGGTGCGCAGCGCCCGGTTCAGGCTGGCGTGGTAGCCCAAGTCACAACACTGCTGTGGAGAGGAGAGCACATGAGCAAACCCTGGACAGCCCCAGGGCTTGGCAGAAAGGGAGGGTGGCCTCCAGAGCAGATGTGACCATGTCAATGAAATGACTGCAGTAGGAAGAAGGTTGACATTTGGACTTCCAAGACCTGGGTGAGATGTCTCGGTTCCTGACTTCCATTTCAATGGTAAGATATACCTTAGTGGACTGTGAGGTGCTCAGAAGAAAGAGGAGTCATTCGGACAAAATAAAATTACCGAATCATGCACTGTCCAGTGCTAATCAGTGCTACTCAGTGCTATTCAGTAAACATGAAAAGAGTTAAGAGTTAAAGGGAATCCTCTCCTATTTTCGGATTTCTCTGGGGACACCATTATAACAAAATTCAATAACAAAAAGATAGCCTGCCAATCCCTGAGGGTTACTGTGGTTAAGTCAGTACATACCAACTAAGCCAGGCCATTTCCACACTCAGAGTCCAGAAGTTAGAAGTGTTGCAAGAACAGTTAATTCCACAAACTCAGAACTCAGGGTGGGAGAAGGACTGGGGGCCCGGCTCTGTCAGTGATCACCCCCATCAACTCCCAACATTTTAGAATAGGCCTTGAGCTAAAGACTAAGATTTCAGCACTAATGCTCCTGCCCTATAGAAATAGCATTTACCAGGCCAAACGTTTCTAAATATAAGTCTTAGTGGGAAAATTCATGTTAAAATAATTGGAATACAAAATAAAATATAAAATAAAAGCAAAATAAAAGAGGCATGACTGAGACAACAGCATTAAAGAAGTACTGGATAGTAAGCCAGCAACCTTGGAAAAGCCACTCCCATCCCCGAACCTGTTTCCTCAACTGTAAAATGAACCGTTTGCCAGGTCAGTGGTTTTCAAGCTGTAGACCAGAGCTCTATGGTTCCGTGCCAGAACCTTCTCAGGCTGCCCTTGAGAAGCAGTAAAAGGGCAGCCCAACTAGTAGGACTTGGAGCCTCCTATCCCTGTTTCAACCAAACCAACTCTGCTCTTTTTTCTATTTAATAAATTGGCATTCTTTGTAAGGTCTGGTTTGAAGAAAGAACTCTTCTGCTAGAGAAAATGCCTGAAACTACTTGACAAAATACAAACCCTAAGGCCCTCTTTAGCAACGGCATTCTGTAACTCTATGACAATCTTCCCCATCCCTCCCAAGGGACCCAGAGATCCCAATAGCTCGGTCGTCCATTATCCCCTCTATTGCATAAGCAGCTTTGAGATCCCAAACCCAAGAAGACATGTTAGAGGAGAATCGTGAACAGAGTAAGACCATCTGCCTGACTGTCACTGCATTCCATAAGCAGGCATCAAATCAACTCATTCCCAGCCTTGCCCCTTCATCCCCTTCATCAGGATCGCACTGGGAGCAGCCACTCCTGGGGAAGAAAAAGCATGTGATCTGCCTCCTCCTCCCAGCATCTGACAAGAAGCTCAGCGACAGAGTGGCTGGGCTCTGGGTCCAGTGCCAACAGGCTCTGGCAGGTGCCTGGCTGCAGTGGAAGAACAGCAGTTACAGCTCAACTAGAGACGGAAAGACATTAAATTCAGTTGAGAGGGAAGAACAAATGGAAGCTAGACAAAAGCGGCTGATTGGGAGGCTGCACGTGCCGGAGCCCTTCCTCCTCTGGGAGACCCGCTGCTCTAGCCGGGCTGCTCTTCAGCCTGCAAGCCCTCCTGAGGTCTGTAAGTCTGATGAACAGAAGCGACGCTACCCACAGGGCTGAGCAAGGGTGTAGGCTGGGGGTGCGGGTGGGGGTGAAGGTTTTTAGTGCAGAAGAGAATGTAGGGGGAGGCAGGGTGCCCTTCATAAATGCTTACATGGTTTTACTAACCTCCTTTTCTCTCCATTCTCACTACCTCTATCCTAATTCATACCCTTATCATTTTACACCAGTGCTACCTGCTTCCCTCTCCTGCTG